GCCATTCTTTGATAGATTCGTCTGAATGCACTTCTACATAATAGTAGAATGTGAAAGGGATAATGGATTATTTTGATTAATTATTGGATAGTGGTATCTTCTACGTTGCCATTTTATAGAATAGCAATTTCAAGTCATTGTGCCATAATGACCCGAAAACAGTACTTTGGTTGTAAGTAACAAATTTCACAGTCTCCTAAACTGCTGTCACCAGAAAGCTATCATTGGAGCCAAAAATTCCAAACGTAGATGAATTTATTTCATAAATGAAAGAAATGCTCGGGATGTGCTATGTTGTTTAGATCCAACTCGAGACATTATATGTGCATCTATAAATAAATAAATAAATGAATAAGTAATTATATATATATATATATATATATAGTGATCCGTCCGAGTCGCCCCAAGAATGTGACATAATAAGCCGTCTTGAGTTCGCTTCATCCTGTCGGGCATGGAATCACTGGAGAGAAAAAGGTAGCTTGAATTAATTTCGGGCCAATTTTTCGTGCCTTCGACGCCGTAACATTCGTCAGTACGTCTGACCAAACTGACTCTTAGCGTAATCGTTCTTTCCGAGAGTGACTTTGGGCTGTTTGCGAATGAACTGGTTTCACAGCTTCCATCAGTTCTTCTGGTGTCAGTTCTTGGGAGTTCCTGAGCTTAGGATCACGCGTATACCTTTTGGCGATCAATCGCGCCACATCTGGATATCCTATCGTCAAGAGGGCATTCATGAGTTGAATTAGAGCGGAGAGGACCGGTTCACCGTCAGCTGCGTCACTGCGTGTGACTTTCGCTTCAGTCATGTGACCGGCATAACCACTAAATCGGATTGGAATGGAATGATAAAAACATTTTGTTTAAAAATGGCACTAGGTATCTTATTCAAAGCAAGTACTCGAGCAACCTCATAATCATTTCAGCAGACACTTAAATGACTATTCGTTCCTTATATATTTTTATCAGCCCTTTTAGGCTGTTCATCATTATAGGCATTTACTTGTCCCTTCAGCAGTTCCTATGGCTCAGTTAAGAATCACTTTTTTAAATCGTTTATATGACGCTAAGATGGTGTGGCATTTAATCTGGTCGTAGTCTCCTTTAGCTATATAATGTTGGTTTGACCTTCTCTTCACAACTTGGTCGGTGCAACAGGGAGACCTTGTGGAATTTACCTGCTGGAAATCATCATGATTATTATAAAAGAGGACGTAGGACTGGATACATTACACAAGGTTTCAATTTTGTAGAGATAATCTTTGTCGCAATCTCAAAAACTCGGTGCAATTTGTATCCAGGATTAATTAAAAAAAGAAATAATTGTCCTATGTCCACCAAAACTGGGGTTTGCCGTTGAACGGAAACTTTGACGTCGCCTCACCCTCTTGCCAACAGCTAATATAGAACTAGCCTCAAAAGACGCGTATTGGCGCTTAGAATCCTGATACATAAGCTTGAAACTCCAATCCACCTAAAAATACTTTTTTGTTGCGAGTTTGAAAAGTATGGTCAACTGCCAAATCAACTCTTCTCCATTTTAGTGTTGAAAACTACGATATACGTTCATTGAAGACGTTACGCCAAGACCGCTTCGTAGTGATGCTTATTTGCTTTAAGTGGTCGACCCAACTCCGGCAAATTGTTTGGCACAAACATTCTCGTTTCAAAAGTTTCAGTTAAGCTTGGATAATAATTCTGAGTAATAAGGGAAGGAAAGTGAATTTTCTCACAAAGAGATATGTAGGAAAATGGTGAGAAATGTCAATTAACAGTTCTTCATCACTTTATTTGACTAGAACTCTTATTTATGGCATATGCTCTAGGCTATCCAGCATGATAATAAATTAATACTCGGTCCACCCAGTACAGTCAAAGTTAAGAGTTTCGTTTTTGAGAAAATGTTCCTCCTTATCCCTATAGCCATGACTATTCTAAAATTCTCTCTACCGAGCCCTTATACGGACTCACAACTCAGTGTAGCGAAATTTTATCACCACATTTGGCTTCTGGGTTTGGATCCTTTATATTATATTTCGTATATAAGTAAGTTTTT